ATATATGACATCCATGCTCTTGATAGGTGTGTATTTATGCATGTAACACACACATACTTTGAGACTGAAAGAGATTTTATTTCACAATCAACCAACCAATCAACCAACCAACCACTTTATTTATAGAGCACTTAAAACAGCAACAAGGCCAACCAAAGTGCTGTACAGACAAAACAACAGGTAACACACAAAGCAAAATACAAAATGAGGTAAATCAGAATATAGACATAAAATGATGCAGATAATGACGACAAACCAGTGTGGAGCATACAGGATCAAAACACAGATCATCTTGTGTTGAAAGCTACTGAATAGTAGTGAGTTTTTAAACGGGACTTGAAAACCGAGAGGGAGGGGACCTGTCTGACAAGCAGAGGCAACTCGTTCCAGAGTCTTGGTCCTGCTACAGAGAAGGCCCTGTCACCTCTGCGCTTAAGACGAGTTCCTGGAACTGTGAGGAGCAACTGGTCCGCTGACCTCAGGGAGCGTGATGGGACATACGGTTGTAGCAGATCAAACACAAGAAAGTACATAATCAAACTGAGCAGGTTTTTGTAGATCAGTATCCTCTCGCTGCTGACGGCAGTGGACCAGCATTCTGCGCTGCCTGCACCCTCTGCCTCATCCTCTCTTTGTGTTCAGCTGTCAAAAGAAAAAAACAAGTGTCACTGAATAATGAGCAATACGCAAACTGCAAGCTCTACAATTTATAGTTATTAAATAAAAGTGATACAGCTGGTAACTATGTGGGTGTAAAGTTCTTAGATAATCACATCAAGTCCGGTTTGGTTTCAACTTCCTGTTTACAACATAAGTTTTGACACTGAAAATATCTTAAAATATAACTTGGGACAAATAAAAACCACAAAGATGTGAAGTAAAAAATGTTGTGTTAACAATAAAATGATTAAAAAAAAACTTTAATATTTTAGAATAGGAATATGTTCTTTTTTTCACATTATACCACAATGTTTTCATATGTAATGTTTTCACATTGAACAATGTGTTTTTACATTTTTACGAGAAACAAAGTGCGAATTATAATTGTGTAAAAATGTTTGCCTTATGCTTCGTCACATATTTTGTTAGAACAGAACAAAAGGATTGTCTGAACGTAAACCTTTTTTTTTTTTTTTTTTACTACAACATTGTACATCCTGAGGCATGCTCAATAATCCTGGCAGAAAAATCTAAAAAAGTTAAGTCTGGTCCTCTGGACATTCAAAAAACAAGAACAAAACAAAAAATGTAGAAACGTTTCGTCTCTCATCCGAGAGACTTCCTCAGTCTGAGGTGCTGTATTCAGCTCAGTCTCTTAAATAGCACCTTCTCAGAGTGGATCAACCAGTTTGCTGCTGACAACCAAAACCAGCTGATCACATGCTCAAGAAGGACCATCAGCCTAACAATGGATCATTAGCACACGGATGGCTGTTTACTATTCACAGAGGGCTGAGTGATACTAGCAATCACAGCATTGTAAGAGGGGGACAGTTGAACACGGAGGCTCCGCCCCTGTTTAATGATGGACCGTTTCTTTTCACAAAGATGGCCTCCTTTACTCCTCTCTCAAACCATCGTTCCTCTCTATCCAGGATGTGAACATCTTCATCACAAACATTGCACAGTTGTTTTTAATTTCTTTTGATGTGGTATTAATACGTCCTGTAGGATGAAAGATGACTTAATTAATAATTAATTAACAGTTGTACAGAAGAACAGGCACATGTACAGGCTGCTGTTTAATACAATGTTTTATATTACATTATTATTGTTTAGTGTATATATTTAGACCTTTTTATACTTTTTCTTTTTATAATTTATATTTTTGCTATTTTAGGGTGTAACTGGGACCTTGAGTACACAATTTCGTTCCACCTCATGTACCACATGGGATGTGAATGACAATAAAGAATCTTGAACCTTGAAGAAGAATTAGGGTCATGGTTTAAAAAAATACATAAATAAATTATATATATATATATATATATAT